AGCCAACAATTATTTTATAAATATGATTTTCTGTACAGAGAATAAAAAGATAATTCAGTCTTTTCTCTATCATGGGTGATCAGACTTGTTTTTTTTTTAAAATCTTATTTTGAAATATTACAGAAAAGTTGCAAAAATAGTACAGAAAATTTCAGTATACTCAGCTACCCTTAATGTCATTTAAATGTTATTTAAAATGTTAAATAACCTTAGAACTATCATCCTATAGAGTAGTGGTTCTCAACCTTCCTAATGCCACAACCCTTTAATACAGTTCCTATGGGTCGCAACCCACAGGTTGAGAACTGCTGCTATAGAGGAAACTAACATTGGTATAATACTATTAACTAAACTATAAGCCTTATTCTAATTTTACTAGTTTTCTCACTAATGGCCTATTTCTGGTCCCGGATCTAATTCATGACTCCACGTTGCATTTGGTTGTTATATACAATGACATATTTGAAGAGTAATGATTAGTTGTTTTGTAAGTGGTCTCTAAATTTAGGTTTTCTATTGTTTTCTCATAATCAGATTGAGGTTATATTCAAATTTGTTCATGAATAGTATTCATTTTGACCAGGCATTGATGAGAACCAAATGTTCCATTTAACATGGACACTTCTGATGCCAGGAAGAATTTTCCATTGATTAGCTCTAGCTCATACATTTGAAATCTTGTTAATCATGCCCTACACACATACTTGCAGCCCAGGGCACTACCAGAGCCATTCATATTGTGATATAACCTCTGGCTCCCCCCACACCCACTCTCAAAAATTAGTATGGAGATTTCTTTTTTTTTTTTTTTTTTTTTTGAGACAGAGCCTCAAGCTATCCCCCTGGATAGAGTACTGTGGCATCACAGTTCACAGCAACGTCCAGCTTCTGGGCTCAAGCGAGTCTCCTGCCTCTGCCTCCCAAGTAGCTGGGACCACAGGCACCCCCCACAGTGCCCAGCTATTTTTTGGTTGCAGCCGTCATTGTTGTTTGAATGGCCCGGGCTGGATTCAAACCAACCACCTTAGGTGTATGTGGCTGGCGCTTTAGCCACTTGAGCCACAGGTGCCAAGCCAGTATGGAGATTTCTTTTTTTTTTTTTTTTTTTGAGACGGAGCCTCAAGCTATCCCCCTGGGTAGAGTGCCATGGCATCACGCTCACAGCAACCTCCAACTCCTGGGCTCAAGCGAGTCTCCTGCCGTAGCCTCCCAAGTAGCTGGGACCACAGGCACCCCCCACAGTGCCCAGCTATTTTTTGGTTGCAGCCATCATTGTTGTTTGGCGGGCTGGGGAGTTGAACCCGCCACCTTAGGTGTATGTGGCTGGCGCCTTAGCCGCTTGAGCCACAGGCGCCGAGCCAGTATGGAGATTTCTTACCAGAGCAGTAATAAAATATAAGTTTGAGGTCTCAGCAGGTCACTCTGCCACATTTATTTTAACCATCCTTCATCATTATATTTTAATGACAAAGACGTAAACAAATGTCAACTGAAGTCACCCTGTCTTTTGGCTTCCAGCCCCTTTCCTATATTTATTGAGAGGACTAATGATCCCTCTAAAATTTCTGTGAATTCCTGGGGACTTATCACATGGTGCGTGTAGCAGACTTCTCAAGGTCTGAGACAGTGGAGGGGGGGGTACAATTGGGCAACTCAAAATGAGTTAAGACCAAACTTTAAACAGCCACATTCTTTTGGTTATGCTGACACTAAAAACTTCTCACTTGTCCCTTGTCTGTATAAACTCTAGTCCCTGCCATTTTTCTTTTCTTCCTTTCTTTCTTCTTTTTTTATTGGAGACAGAGCCTCAAGTTGTCGCCCTGGGTAGAGTGCTGAAGCGTCACAGCTCACAGAAACCTTCAACTTCTGGGCTTAAGCAATTCTCTTTCACTAGCCTCCCAGGTAGCTGGGACTACAGGCACCCACCACAACACCTGGCTGTTTTTTGGTTGTAGTTGTCAGTTGTTTGACAGGCCCGGGCTGGATTCAAACATGCCAGCTCCAGTGCATGCAGCTGGGGCCCTAGCTGCTGAGCTACAGGTGCTGAGCCGCTGACATTTTTCTTTTTTTTTTTTTTATGGTGATTGTTTTTATTAGTTTTATATGCCGGTAATTTCTAATGCATAATTTTCTTAGAGCTAGAGATAATTTCTTCTAGAAAAACAATCTCTGGGTTTAGAATGGAAGACAGTGAAACAAGAGATCTCACTTTGTAACTTACCTGTATCAAACCAATCTGGAGATTATCAGTTCCTTTATATGAATATTCTTTGACATTATATAACAAGTTATTAACAGAAACCATAAAAGTCACAAACCTTACATTCTCTAATTTCTCAATCAACTTTTCTTAGAGTTTTGAAGACATAAAAATAAAAACCATCTGAAATAACAGCACTCAAACACCACAAACATTTGTGATGAGGTGCAGCAATCGATTTTAAGCTTCATATTTTCCAGGTTTTAGCTAAAATAACCCTTACCACAGTTTCTTAGATTTTTGTCAGCCTTCTTTGGGGGCACTTTTGCCTTATTGGGCATAAATAGAAGACATTATTAAATGTGTTACTGATTCATACTGAGAACACAGTATAAGTGGGTGTCTAACCCCTGAGGGGCACACGGAAACACAACACCTCCCAAAGAAACGGTGAGTGCTCCAAGTTATCCTGCATTAGGCAGTTTCACAGAATCATTTGTTCTCTGAGTTCGAAGCCTGTGACTTGATCTTCCTAGCAGCTTCAAGAACAGAAAGTGGGTTTACTTTGTCTCCAAATTCTTTTTCTCGGTGCTCAGGAAGAATGCCCTGTTTTCCTGATCCCACCACAAAAACTCCACCAAGGATGAAGCCTTCACCTTCTAGGTTTCCAGAGTAGCCTCCATTCCAGGCCCGGAAGAAGTTGTACCACACTCCCAGTCGGATAAATCCCATAAACATCATCTTCCACCTTTGTGGACCATAGAACTTTTCTTTTCATCCAGGAAGATTTCTCCTTTCAAATAAGACTGGAAGTCCTTCACTTCAGTCCCGATCTGCTCCTTCACCACAGCATTGAGCAGGATGCCCAGCTCCTCCAGTTTGGGTTTCAGAGAGGACAAGTCTGCAGCTTCCTCTCGACAGAGGAAACAACCTGGCCTCCGCACAGCCGTGATCACAGCTCCATTCTTTTCCCATAGCTCTTTTGCTTTGAAAGTTCTTGGTTCCTTGTCTAGTGTTTTCAGGGCTCTGTCCTCCAGATACTCCAGTGCTGCTCTCTGCGGCTTGGACAGAAACACATCAGTGTTGGCCAGGAGCAGTGCCAAGGCAGCAGCACCCAGGGCTCCTGCGCCGATGGACCACATTCTCATGGTGAAGAAACTTGGATCCTGAAATGTAACTTTTCTCCTGCCTGCTCTGGGGCCCGAGGCAGGGACACTGTGGGCCCAAACCCTCCCGGCCAGAGGGTCCCAGGGGCGGCAACATTTTTCTTAACTCCTTATCATCTATCCTTCTTGACTGTTCACTCAAACCCCCAAATTCCTTTATCTTCACATTCAAAACAATTCAGCTATTTCTTCTTCTTCTCCTTCTTCTTCTTCTTCTTCTTTTTAATTTTTTTGTAGAGATAGACTTTCACTTTGTCACCCTGGGTAGAACGCTGTGTTGTCACAGCTCACAGCAACCTCTACTCCTGGGCTTAGGTGATTCTGTTGCCGCAGTCAACTATTTCTTTGTTAAAATGTCTCCTCAGGGGGTCCTTTCCCTTCCTACATGTGCTATAATGGTATTTCCCAAACTCAGTACAGTTTCCACCCCTAAGAGATACTATTTTTTTTAATCTTTTAAATGCCTTCTCACCTAACTTCTCACATAGAGTAGATAGTAATAAAATATAATGTGTGCTACTTTGTAACCATGATGTATACCTGGCAAGAGGCATTAAACTGTGAGTTAATCCCATAGACTGTGGGGACAGACTTCCCGGCTTCAAAATCTTTACTTTACTCCACGATAAAAAGCTAAGTAACTCGATTTAAAATGAGAAAAAGATGAGACTAGACGATTCTCCAAAGAGATAGTCTCTAAAAATAAAACAGCCAATAAGAACATGAAAATATGGCAGCATCGTTAGTCACTGGGGAAACCAAACCAAACCAAAACCACAATCAGATACCACTTCATACCTGCTAGGATGGCTAAAATCAAATAGCTAATAATAAGTGTGGATGAGGATATAGAGAAACTAAAACCTCTGTACATTGTTAATGAGAGTGTATCATGGTATAAATGCTTTGGAAAACAGATTGGTGTTCCTCAATTAAACACAGAGTTAAGATACGGCTCAACAATTCCATTTCTTTTTTTTTGAGACAGAGCCTTAAGCTATCCCCCTGAGTAGAGTGCTGTGGCATCACAGCTCACAGCAACCTCCAACTCCTGGGCTCAAGCGAGTCTCTTGCCTCAGCCTCCCAAGTAGCTGGGACCACAGGTGCCCACCACAATGCCCGGTTATTTTTTGGTTGCAGCTGTCATTGTTTTTAGCAGGCCCAGGCTGGATTCGAACCCGCCACCTTAGGTGTATGTGGCTGGTGCCTTAGCCACTTGAGCCACAGGTGCCAAGCCTCAACAATTCCATTTCAAGGTATACACGAGATAAATGAAAACGTATGTCTACCCAGAAACTTGTAAGTGAAGGTTTATAGCAACATTGTTCATAATAGTCAAAAAGGGGGGTAGGGGACCGTTCTGTGCCTCAACTAATGAACAGATAAAGTTCATAGCAGATTAAAAAAAGATTACTGAAGCAATCTTCCTAAAACAGAAATTGCTTTACTGTTTGGGGAACAAAGTAGGGCATGAATCCTGCGTTTTATTTTTTATGGCCTAAAAACTTTCACTGGCTTGATTTCAAGATAAAGTTCTACTCTGGCTCAGCATACAAGGGCCCTTTCTGATCTGAACACCACCTGTGTCTCTGACTTGGTCTCCCGTTCCTCACTCATACCCACCCCTTGATCCAGCCTCATCCAAGTTCTTAGAACACTGTGAACTCCATCACATCACTGCACCTGGGATGCTCAGGTGCCGCCTCCCCTTCATCTGCCAGCTAAGGAGGCTTACCTGTCCCTCTTCCTGACCCCTTGACTATCTCATCCTTCATCGGGTGGAGTTTTGTGCCTCTCCCCAGGGGTGTTCAACTTCTGCACTCCCGTGCTATCCACACCATGCCCATAGCACACTGCCTCCACTTACCAGTTATTTTGATTGTTGAAACAACAATCACACAACCTGCACACAGGGTTTCTGTATGAACATCCACAAACATAAACCCTTTCCTCTTCTCTCCAACCAAGCCCACAGGACTTTCTTTCCCAAACTTCTCACTGGAAGTCTCTTTTCACAGGTAATAAACTCTCTGCTGTCTTCAGCCTTAGTGTGGAAGGTTCCCTCCAATTCCCGACCTCAGTGGAAACCTGGCTTTGTCCTGATGTGCTTATTCTTTCACACCCCACAAGCCTGACCCTCCAGAGGTGGGTTCTCTCTTCTCTCCACAGCCCACTTCTGCTTCCAGATCCTTATTCCACCCTCACATGAAACCCCTGCTCATCTGAGGCTCAGGTCACGAAAGCACTCTTCCCTGACTTTGTCCTGTGGTCACTTCTGTTTCACATCTCCTCTTTCACTGAAGGTGCCTGGCTTGGCACCTGGAGCTCAGTGGTTAGGACACCAACTACATATACCAGGTGGGTTTGAACTGGGCCCGGGCCTGCTAATCAACATGACAACTACAACAAAAAGGTAGCCAGGCCTTGTGGCAGGTGCCTATTGGGAGCTGCTTGGGAGGCTGAGGCAAGAGAATCACTTAAGCCCAAGAGTTAGAGGTTGCTGTGAGCTGTGATGCCATAGTACTTTACAGAGGGTGACGTAGTTGAGACCGTCTCAAAAAAAAAAAAAATTTGGTGACTGGTTCCCAGTCTTCACATCCCAGGAGGCTGCCATCAACCAGGTAACTTCATTACCTTTATATATAAGCCAGCAACTCCCCGCCTTCCAGTCCTAGACCTCATCTCCAGGAATCTCCTCCTCTACTCTTGCCCTCCAGTCAGTCGGCACCTGGAACCACCCACCTCTGAAGTCCCTCATTCAAACTTCTGACCCTTCTCCCCTGACATGAATCCCAGTGTGAAAGTTATCAATACCAAAATGACGTCTTTATGCCAAGAAGCCAGGAGGGAGGGGCTGTCATATTCCATGTTTGCACCAAAAGAAAAGCCACGGGAAATTTTTCCAAGCTGCAGCTTGCCACACAAGTGACACAGGGATAGATAGCCACTTACATAAGAATACTTTCATACTGTCTCCAGGAATGTACTAATGTCAGCTCCCCACATAACCCTGAAAGCAATGTTCTCTTTGTTTCAGAACAACTCACCAGAACTTGCTTTTCTCTTTATCTCTCTCTCTCTTTTTTTTTTGAGACAGTCTCACTCTGTTGCCCAGGCTAGAGTGTTGTGGAGTCATAGCTCACAGCAACCTCAAACTCTTGGGCTCAAGTGATCTTCTTCCCCCAGCCTCCTGATAGCTGGGACTACAGGTGCCCACCACTATGCCCGGCCAATTTTTAATTTTTATTAGAGATGGGTCTCCCTCTTGCTCAGGCTTGTCTCCAACTCCTGAGTTCAAGGAGTCCTCCTGTCTCAGCCTCCTAGAGTGTCCAGCCACACTTTTGTCTTTAAAAGCAACCCCTCTGATGCTCCTATGATCCAGCATAGCACCTTTATTTTGAATTGCAATTCCTTTCTATTCCCAAGTAAACTTCCTTTGCAGAACAAGCTGTTAAAATTACTTGATTGTTTTTAGGGGAAACTGACAAATTTCATCTCACTATTTTTTTTCAGTTTTCTTCCTTTTTTATTGTGGTAAAACTTACATAACATAAAGTTTACCATTTAACCATTTTAAGTACATAGTTTAGTGATATTAGATACATTCAAAATATCAGGCAACATTCACCCATCCCTCTCTAGAATTCTTTTTGTCTTGGAAAACAATTCTGTGCCCATTAAACAATAACTCCCCATTTCCTCCTCCTCCTCCTCCCTGGTAGCCTCCATTCATTTTTTTCTGTCTCTGCAATTTGGCTCCTCTAAGAGTCTCATATAAGTGGAATCATATAGTACTTGTCTTTTTGTAACTGGCTTATTTCACCTAGCATAAGGTACTCAGGTTTCATCTATGTTGAAGCATATGTCAACATGTTCTTTAAGGCTAAATCAAGTCCCATCATATGGATCTACCACATTTTTCTCAGCATTTATTTGATGATGGCACCTGGGTTACTTCCATGTTTTAGCTATTGCATTACTTTTCTATCCAACTTAGATTTCACAGTCATCACTTCAGTCATTATCTTGCCAATATCCTCAGCCTCCTAATGCCATTGTCTTTCTGACTCAAAAGTCTGATGAAACCCAACCCTGATGAACCCATTGGTCTGGTTTGAAACTCCTGAGCTCAGGCAATCCACCTGCCTTGGCCTCCCAGAGTGCTAGGATTATATGTGTGAGCCACTGTGCCCAGCCAAACCTACTTATCTGTACTCTTTGTGCCTGAAGCCAACAATGAGAGCTGCTAGAGAAAAAGAAATCCCACCCCCTTGTATTTGTGTGTGTGTGTGTTTTGAGAGTCTCATCATGTCGCCCTCAGTAGAGTGGTATGGTGTCACAGCTCACAGCAACCTCCAACTCTTGGGCTTAAGCAATTCTCTTGCTTCAGCCTCCCAAGTAGCTGGGACTATAGGAGCCCACAACACCAGGCTATTTTTTTTATTGTAGTTGTCGTTGTTGTTTGGCAGACCCAGCTGGGTTCCAACCCGCCAACTCTGTGGTATGTGGTTGGCACCCTAACCACTGAGCTACAAGCGCCAAGCCTTTGTATGTTGATACCATTATAAATTCATGACCACCAGCCTCACCTAGGGACCCCAATAAAACTGTTGATCTTATTTTATTTCCCTAATTGCCACTAACCTGATCTAATCAATGATTATTTCAAACATTTGCTACCCTTCTGAAGCTTCTTGCCTGCCTCCTTCCATTACAGCCTGTATCCTGGCCTCTTTTTTTTTTTGAGACAGCATCTCACTTGGTCACCCTCAGTAGAGTACAGGAGTGTCTTAGCTCACAGCAACCTCAAACTCTTGGGTTCAACTGATCCTCTTGCCTCAGCCTCCCAAGTAGCTGAGACTACAGGTGCCCACCATAACATCTGGCTATTTTCAGAGACGAGGTCTTACTCTGGCTCAGGCTGGTCTTGAATCTATGAGCTCAAGCAATCTACCTGCCTTGGCCTCCCAATTGCTGGGATTACAGGCGTGAGCCACAACATCCAGCCAAGTATCCTGGCCTCTTATCCACACATACAAGTAGAAACCATCACACACACAAAAAATCCTTCAATTTCCTGCTACCAATTTTACGAGTACAGTAGAGCCTCACTGTTAACCACTTCCCTATTTTGACCACTTTCTTAATTTTATTTAATCTTCATAGACTGGACATGTACCATACGACCACTAGACATGTCAGTACAGTAGGCCTAGTTCCTTATGTTGACCATCTCTGTATGTCGACCAGTTTGTTACAGTTCCTTGGGTGGTCATATAACACACAGTTCTACTGTATATTGGAATCCAAGCTTATTATATCTTCCATTCCTCCTAAGATGAATTTCTTTTTATCCCATGCTCTCCTGCTTTCTCAGGGACCTCACCTTATCATTTATCTCCTTTCTCTTCTTCATCTTTAATTTTTCCTCTATGCTTTTTAAAAATTTTCCTACTGGCCAGGCGCAGTGGCTCAGGCCTGTAATCCAAGCACTCTGGGAGGCCAAGGTGGGTGGATTGCTTGAGCTCACAAGTTTGAGACCAGCCTGAGCAAAAGTGAGACCTGGTCTCTACTAAAAATAGAAAAACTGAGGCAAAAGGCTTGATTGAGCCTGAGTTTGAGGTTGCTGTGAGCTATAACACCATGGCACTCTACACAGGGCAACAGCTTGAGACTCTCTCTCAAAAACAAAGCGAAACAATACAACAACAAAAAATGTTCCTACTATCTTACCTTGCCATCTGATGGTGAGCTTCTCTTCTCTCCTTCACAGCTTTAAAGAGTTGGCCATTCACTCCTCAGACTACTCCAATCAAGCTCCTACCTCACCATTTCTCTGAAGCAGTATTTAACAATATCACTAATAAATTCATATGATGCTGAATCTACTGTACACATTTCAGTTTTTATATTGCTTGATATCTCTGTGGCATGGCACACGTGATCAGTATGTACTTCTCAATTTTTAGAGCTTTATTGAGGTATAACTGACATGGAATAATCTGCACATGTTAAAGTATACCATTTTATAAGCTCTGATATTTATATACACTCATGAAACTATCACAACAATCAAGACAATGAACATGACCACAATGGCTCATTCCTATAATCCCAGCATTCTGAGAGGCTGGGGAGGAGGATCCCTTGAGCTTAGAAGTGCTTTTTTTTTTTTTTTTTTGAGAGAGTCTCACTTTGTTTCCCTCAGTAGAGTCCGGTGCTGTCATAGTTCACTGCAACCTCAAACTCCTAGGCTCAAAGCGATTCTCTTATCTCATTCTCCCTGGTAGCTGGGACTACAGATGCCCACTACAATGCCCAGCTCTTTTTCTTAGGGACGAGGGTCTCACTCTTGCTCAGGCTGGCCTCGAACTCCTGAGCTCAAGCAATCCACAGGCCTGGGGGTCCCAGAGTGCTAGGATTACAGGCATGAGCCACCACGCCAGGCCTTGAAACACATTCTACATGTATTGCATTACACTACATTTTCCAGGTTCCCTCCTGTGCCAGTTTTCAATTGATTGCCTCTCAGCTCCCATCCGTATTTCTTGCCTGCTCTGTGAAAACAGAGATGGACCCTTCAGTGATTGAGACCAGCTGATTGAAACCAATGATTGGACCCTTCCTCTTTGTCCTCTGGCACGATGTTAAGTTTTGTCAATAGATGGCACTGGAGAGACACTGCAGGAGGGAAGGGATTTGCTTCCTGGTTCCGGTGTACTAACCAGTTCAGCAGCCTTGGGCAGCAAGCTTGGCTTCTCCAGCACCCGGCTCCTATGGTTCCCACAGCTTCTCCAGCGCTGGGCTGCATCAGCACTCGGTGGCCAGTAGTGCCTCCGCCTCGGGTGGATTTGTAGCAGAGGGTTTTCAGGGAGACACCTTCCTGTGAACAGGCTGATACTCTGATACCACTAATATGGCACCATAGTGACTTCCCAACCATTCACTGTGTCATACTTGTGGCCTCTCCAGCAAGATCTGGGCTTTTGCCCAGTAGTGGAAGGGATCTCTTCCTTAGGACCTTTATCTCAGCCCCAGGTATCATATAAAATATTAGAGTAATCATATCTGCTTTTTAAAAAAATTATATCTGCTCAAAAAGAAAAAAACTTTAGAAAAAAATAAAAAATGTTTAGAGTTCTCTTTTCTTATTAGACCACAGGTTGGCAAACCATGTCTTAAATATCAAATCCACTGACTGCCTATTTTTATAAATAAAGTTTTATTGAAACACAGCCATACTCAATTATTTACATATTGTCTGTGGCCATTTTTATGTTACAATGGCAGAGTTGAGTAGTTGCAACAGAGACCATTTGCCCCCTAAATCCTAAAATATTCATTTTTCTTTTCAGAAAAAGTTTAGCTCCTACACTAGCCAGTCCCTCACAACTCTAATCCCCTGTTACAGTTAACTTTTTTCATATTAAATTTTCCCTGTTTAAATTATCATGAGAACTCTTCTCATTGAACCCTGTCTAACATATCTCCAACCTCTCTGGCTCCTTTTTCTCAGTCCATTTTCAGAGTCTCTTTCTCCTATCCATTTCACAACATTAGTGTGCCTCAAGGCCCTCCTCTCAGCTTGTTGAAGCAACTCACTGGCTTACTCACCTTTAATTATTAGGTTTAACCAATAGTTTTTAATCTGGATTCCTTAGATGGCTCTAATGTGTCCATAAACCACCTGAAAATACATGAAAATTTTGTGTGGATAAACCAGGAGCAGTGGCTCACCCATGTAATCCCAGGTACTCATCAGGCTGAGAGAAGAGGATCACTTGAGGCCAGGAGTTTCAGACAAGCCTGGGCAATACAGTGAGACCCCCATCTGTAAATATGTAAATGAATAAATAAATAAATAAGCCAGGCATGATGGCACTTGCCTGTAGTTCCACCTACTCAGGTGGCTGAGACAGGAAAATTGCTTGAGTCCAGAAGTTTGAGAAGCAGTGAGCTACGATTGCACCATTGCATCCCAATATGGGTGAAAGGGCAAGACCCAGTCTTTAAAAAAAGAAATTGTGTGTGGATGTGCAAATGTGCATACATATGGGAAGAAGTTTTCCAGCTTCATCTTTTGGCAACATGGCTCAATACTTAAGGGCATGATCCTGGATACAACCTGCTTAAGTTTAAGTGCTAGCTCTGCTGTTATGACGTGGACAAACCTACTTAACCCCTACTGTGCCTCAGTTTCCTTGTCTGTAAAATAGGGAAAATTATTTTACTTACAGAGTTAAAGGAATTAAGAGAGTTAACATATACAAAGCACTAGGACAGGGCCTTGCACATAATAAGCACTATTTAAGCATTGGTTATTATTGCCATTTGGGACACTCTCCCTGACCCGTGGGCCCTCAATGTTTTCTGTTGCTCTAATGCAACCTGCTCTCTGTGACTCCGAGCCCTCCGGAGGGCTCTTTCCTCCGTTCAGAGAGCTCCTGCCTATGTGTTGCTTGACTATTAACTTCCCTCTGGCCTCTGCTCAAATTTTTATTCCTTAAAAAAGCTTTTCCTGATCTCCGGAAGGCAAAGGTCATGTCTTCCTGATTCCCTGCTAGCATGCTGTAGGAATGTCATAAATATTTGTCAAGTGAATGAATATGAATAAGTAACAAAACACATGAAAGGCTTTTTATAAAGTTGTAAAACCCTATACAAATATTAGGTAACACAATAGTGACAGTGTGACAAAATGTTATGGTTACTAGATACGCTAATGTTTATTTAGTAGGAATTTATGTGAAGGAAACTCCTGTACAATTCCTATAAAATATGTTGGTTCAAATTGACTTTGGAACATGTGTCTTTAAGTCAAATGGAAATTACACAAGAGAACCAGAAAATATGTGTATTACTGCATGCAGCCAGGGAACCACAGACAGATAATGATTTATTAAGGCAACCCCCACTTTCTTCCCCAGGAAATAGACCTCGGATGAAAGAAACCATTGAACAGGTAACCTACGTATTCCAGAGAACATGTTCATGGCATCAATTCAATACGGGATTAAATACTTTCATGAGTTGGCAAAACCAAGCGGGCTAATCTGAGAAATTCATTGCTACCTTGAGTGACCCATGTAATCAGGAAAATTATATATATTTTTTAATATTGGGAAAACTATATTCTGTTATCAATGAACAGGAAAATCAAGATATTACCATCATAATTCAAAATAGACACAATAAAATAAATCTCCTTGGAATGTCTTCAAGGACCTATTGCTTCCTCTCCATTGGGTAACGGAATCTTTGAAGAGGAAGTGTTCACACTCCCCAAACCTTACCAACTGTCAGACTCAAACCGCTCTTCTCCCAGGCAGTGGACCTTAGAACATTTCTCAGGTGCCAATATTTGACCTCCAGGAGAAACTAAGAGGTAACTGCCTCACCACCACTGGGGAAACTGCATCAGGGACTGGATTTGAGCCCAGGGAGATACAAAACTGGGGAGATTTCACAAGACTCGCTGGTGGCCAGAGGGAAAGCTGGCTGGCTGGTCCCCGGGCCCTGCGCTCTAGCTGGGCTCCAGGCTGCTGGAGGTTTGGGGTGCACCTGCTCGAGTATGGGTCAATTTCTCCCAGCGCCGCTGAGCGGCGCTCTAGCTGCAGCCTGCGTGCGGCCGCCACGCCCCGGACTACACGCCCCAGAGGGCCTTGCTCCCCGCGTTGTCGCAATTTGAACCAGGCAGCGCCGGCCTAGGAAGAGTTGCTGTGTCGGCTAGTGCTGCTGGGGCGTCCCTCATCTGCTATCCCTGCGCCCGCCGAGATGGTTGTCCTCCTTCTCCTCCTCCTTCTTCTTCCCTTCCTGCTGTACGTGGCTGCGCCCCAAATCAGGTCTGTGCAAATGTGTTACTTTCTCTTGCAAAGTCTTTTCGGGGGACATGAGACCTCAATGAAGCTCTTTATTTGGCATACTCCCTTGAGGGGCTTCAAAATGGCGGAGGACCAGAGCTCGATGGGCTGAAGGCTGAAGGCTCGGTCCACCTGTCCTGATGCGGGGAGGCGAGATCCGAGACCCCAGGGCGCGAAAGGGCGCTGCACTCCGGGTCACCCTGCGTCTCCTGCCCTTTTTTGGTCTTAGAACCGTGTGCCTGAGGCTCCAGGGAACCCCGAGGGCAAAGCTGCCTCAAACACTGGAGTTTACAGCTTTGCGGTTTTCAAACCCTGGAATGGGGAGGATGTGGCCTCGAACCCTGGTTCTCCCTTAAATCCCACAGTTTGAACCACCCTTTGAGGCACAACGGAGCGATTCCACCGTTTGCTCTTTAAAGCTAGTGGGAATCTTCGGCACCGTTGCTTGCTGTCTTGTTGCTGTTAGGGTCGCTCGTTTTCTGGTCAGGTGTTGTAAAGGAGAGAAGTGAAAAGGGACCGTATTTGATTGTGAGCCCTAGCTAGCCTGCCTTGGGAGCAGGTGCATGGGGGATCCGAGTTGTGTGGAGGGGCGGGGGGAAGGCAGGCAGCCAGCCTGTGAGGTGGTGTCTTGACAGGTGACACATCAGCCCAAGGGTACCTGTGTGCCGCCCCCTGCCCCCAGATCTCCAGCGGGCTAAATAATGGGTAGGCTGCGATTGGTTCTGAGTAAGTCACCAGGAGTGACGGTCGACCAATGAAAAGACACAGCCTTTCCCCGGAGTGGGCGGCCTTAATGCAAATGAAACTTGAAGCTCGGCCATCTCACACCCTCGGTTCTTAGAATAGTCTTTCTTCCATCCTCCCTCCCTCCCTCCCTGGGGCCCCTCTTCCAGCTGTAATTTTTTTCTCCCCTCTGAATACATAGTGCTCCCACCTGTACGCACACTCGGGTGCTCACACTCAGACAAAAACGCAGTATTTTTCTTTCTTTTTGCCACAGGATCCTTTTAGCCACATAGAATCTCATTAAAAAGTTGAACCTGAACTGAAAATAATGTTGGTACCTCAGTGAGATCTTTCTGAGAAAGATCATGCTCCTGTCCCCAATTTAGCAAGGTCATGGTAATAAGGCCAGAGCTGTGCTTTTATAGTTGATTCTCTTTTTCATTCCTGCTGGCTAAGGAGAGGAAAGGGACCTGATATCTCCACTGTAAAAGTTCTTCTTGCTAATGTCGCAGAAAGGAATTTCAGGATGTGCACACAACTGAGCAGTAGTGGGGAGTTTATTGAGTGAAAGTGACAGGCACAGGAAAGGCTTGTGCAGAAGCGAAAGTTCCTTCTTGGCGTGGCCGTGTGCACTGGCTCACACCTGCAATCCTAGCACTGTGGGAGGCCCAGGCGGGAGGATCACTAGAGCTCAAGAGTTTGAGGGCAGTTTGAGTAAGATTAAGATCCCATCTCTACTAAAGATAGAAAAACTAGCCAGGCATTGTGGTACCTGTAGTCCCAGCTACTTGGGAGGCTGAGGCAGGAGGATTGCTTGAACCCAGGAGTTTGAGGTTGCTGTGAGCTGTGATGCCAGGGCACTGTAGCCTTGGCCAACAGAGGGAGACTCTGTCTCAAAAAAGATAAAACAAAAGTATCTTCTCAAGAAGGGGAGGAACAGACTTGAAAGGAGCAACTGCCATGAACTCTGAACGTTTTTATTTGCTGACATTAAAGAAGGCTGGGCGGTCAGTGTTCATTCTGTTCTGTTGGCTCGGTGAGGTCAATGTTCATTCTGTTCTATTCATATATAGTGGGGGATCGGTCACTTTGTACCTGTGCAGCGATGGGAAATTAATGGCTCTTCTCTTTGGGTCTGTTTGTTCAAGGGCTGTTTATTTGAGCCAGTTGACTGACTTTCCCATTCCCTTCTCCCTTGCTAACTACCTACCTACTTTAACCTCCCCCTTCAGGAACTCTGTGCCTTTGAAATCTTTTAAGGATATATGGGTGGAAGTCTCATTTTCTGTAACCGCTTCAAGCTGGCAGAGGATGTCATCCCCACCTATGGGCCAGGAGTTTTTCTCCCTGTCAAGGGAGCTAGGGGAAAGTAGAGTACCATAGGCCAAAAACAGTTTTATTTATTTTATTTTTTATTATTTTTTATTTTGAGACACAGTCTCACTCTATTGCCCTGGGTAGAGTGCTATAGCATCATAGCTCACAGTAACCTCAAACTCCTGGTCTTGAGCAATCCTGTTGCCTCAGCCTCCCAAGTAGCTGGGACTACAGGTTCCTGCCACTACTCCCGGATAGTTTTTCTATTTTTAGTAGAGATGGGGTCTCATTTGTTGCTCAGGCTGGTCTTGAAATCCTGAACTCAAGTGATCCTCCCACCTCAGCCTCCCAGAGTGCTGGGATTACAGGTGAGATCCACCCCAGAACACATTTAGGTAGAAAGGGAACTCTGCTCTCCATTTTATCCTAGTTCTTCATCAGGACATAGACCCTGATTGAAGATTTGAGATCAGAAAGAAGTTCCCACTGAGTCTAAAGAAGAGAAAAAGCCGGTAAGCATAGGTTGATATCACTGGCGAATGAGAACAGACAGTTCCCAGAGACCTGCCTGCTTCCTCCTGCACAGGGCAAAGGAGATGTGCTCCTGCAGGCTTATCTGGCAGGTGCATGAGCCACTCAGCTGAGGGAAACGTCAGAGGTCAGAGGAGGAGTCTCCAAGTTAGGGTTAGGGGCCACTGGAGGTGGCTCGATCTCAGGATCTGAAATGGGGGTGGAGGAGTAGGGGGTGGTGAGCCTGGCCTACCTGGTCAACGTTTCTCAAGATAGAAACTGCACTTACCAGGGTCCTGAGTGCCATCAAGTCTGGCATGTATGGAACTTCTGTCTACTTTCCTGTCAATAGAAAGATCTAATTGAAGGATGTTTTAAACTGCTCAGTGGCCATAGGTCAGGGGTTAGGACACTGGCCCCATACACCAGGGCTGGTGGGTTTGAACCCAGCCCAGGCCTGCTGAACAACAATGACAACTGCAACAACAACAACAAAAAAAGGCCAGGCATTGTGGCAAGTACCTATAGTCCTAGTTACTTGGAAGGCTGAGGCAAGAGATCGTTTAAGCCCAAGAGTTTGAGGTTGCTGTGAGCTGTGACACCATGGCACTTTACTGAGGGGGACATAGTGAGACTCTGTCGCAAAAATAAATAAATAAAGTTTGAACAGCCATCACCTAGCTTATATTAGGGCCAGGCAGCATTACACAGGAACACAAGTTTCTTCTTTAAACTGTTTAATCTGAAGAAGTTCCAATTCCAGAGAATATAGCTGAAGGGGGAGTCTTTTGGAATGGAGAGAGTATTACCCTTTTTTTCTTGGTTCTCTGGACAAGACATGGAAGTGCACCGGGCCTCTAACCCCTGTGAAGTAGAGAGAGACGGGCCAGTGCAATGCTGGCATGTATTCTTCTCAAGTTGGCATCACTAAGGTTTCAAGACCTCTGGAGATCCCACCTTTCTCTCTCCCAGATCTGATGAAGCACATTTAGCCCTGACAAAATAGTTAAAGTGGGACTTTTCGTGCCTGAAAGGTTTTTCTCCTGCTTTCCACATAAAAATTGATTGAATCAAGTTTTGCTCTTATATGCTTCATTCATCTGGGGAGGCTAGCGTACCAAAGCCCTTCCACTGTATACCGGACGGTTTGGCTTCAAAGCCCAGGCACCCAATCCCCAAACTGCCTTGTGTCTGCTGGCAATTCCTCCACTGAAACAGACAAGTACAACAATCAGAAAGATTACTGAAAGAGTAAGCCTTCCTGGCAAAGCAATAGATTGAATTTTTCCCCCCACACATAATAAAGAAGTACTTTGAAGTAAGAATGGAATCTAGCAGAAGAGACTAAGCATGGGGTACCCATACAGAGTGAGTCACGGGCTCCTGCACAGTGTGGGGAGGTTCCCTGCCAGCTCCCTAGGCTGTGTCACCAGCAGCCAGCAACCACTTGGATCGACATGACCTGAGGAGTGACCCTCTGCCACCCCACTTGGGCTCCCACTCCCAGGGGAGCTGCAGTCAGCCATATGGAAAGATGTGTATGCACCTGTGACTCACTGAAAAGCCTGCAGAAGCAAAAGAAGAAAAATCCTCTGGTGCAGTTTCAAGCGTGAGGACTAATGCTCACCCGAGTCACTCAGGGATGGAATAATCAAGCTCCTGGCCGGCTCACCGTGAGATATCACCAGTGTAAATGTTTTTGCTAACGTCATAGAAAGGAATTCTAGGATGCACACACAACCGAGTGGATAGTGGCAAGTTTATTGAGTAAAAGCAGACAGGTCTAGGAAGGGCTTAAGCAGAAGTGAAAGTATGCTCTCAAGAAAGGGAGTGGACCGGCTTGAAAGGAACAACTTTGCTTTTTTTAAAAAATGTTCTTTTATTTTTTTGTGGTGTTGAGACAGTGTTGAGACAGGTGTTGAGACAGTGTCTAGCTCTGTCACCTGAGTTAGAGTTTAGTAACATCATCATAGCTCACTGCAGCCTCAAACCCCTGGGCTCTAGCAATCCTACTACCTCAGCCTCCCAAGTAGCTGGGACTATAGGCAAATGCCAAGACACGGGTGAATTCCCCTGGTTTTGGTAAAGACAGAGTTTCCCTCTTGGTCAGGCTGGTCTTGAACTCCTGAGCTCAAGGGATCCTCCTGCCTCAGATGCTAGGATTACAGGTGTGAGCCACTGCAACCAGCCCTGCTAGCTTTTTTTTTTTTGAGACAGAGTCTCAAGCTGTCGCCCTCAGTAGAGTGCTGTGACATCACAGCTCACAGCAACCTCAAACTCTTGGGCTTAAGTGATTTTCTTGCCTTAGCTTCCCAAGCAGCTAGGACTACAGGTGCCCGCCACAACGCCCAGCTTTGTTGTTGTTGTGGTGGTAGTTGTCATCGTTGTTTGGCAGGCCCTGGGCTGGGTTCAAACTGTCAGCCCCGGTATATGTTGCTGGTGCCCTATCTGCTGAGCTACAAACCCCGAGCCCGTTTGCTATTTTCATTTGTTGAAGTCGAAGAAGGCTGAGAGATCAGTGTTCATTCTGTTCTTACGCATATATAATAGAGTAATAGGTCACTTTGTACCTGTGCAATTATGGGAAATTAATGGCTCTTTTCTTCTCTTCAGGTCTGTTTGTTCAAGGGCTATTTATTTGAGCCAGCTGACTAACTTTTCCACTCTTTCCTCCCTTGCTCAGACATGGCTACCTACTCTCATACTGTTAAGTTGTCACTCCTGCAATTAAAGCTGAAGGGACATGGGAGATAGCTGGGAGGCTTGTTCTCTGGGGAGGGAGTATAGTTGGTTGGTACCATGAGTTGTTTGACACATAGGTCTGTTTGCACAAAAGATTGTGTACCTGGCAATTCCAAGTTCAGTGAAAAAGGCTGAAATGCTCTTTAAAAATGCATCTCCTGGTCAACAGATTGTTTTAACCAGTCTCAAGATTGTAGAAAAGAGGAAAGAACACTTGAGGACTGCTAATCATTTTTTGCACTCATTCATTTAGAATGACAGCATAGGACAGTGCTTTTTTCTTTTTTTTTTTTATTCAGAGTCTGTTTGTTGTCCTCCGTAGAGTGTTGTGGCATCACAGCTCACACCAGCCCCAAATTCTTGGGCTCAAGTGATTCTTTTGCCTCAGCCTCCCAAATAGCTGACTATAGGTGCCGGCCACAACACCCAGCTATTTTTAGAGACAAGGTCTCACTCTGGCTCAGGCTGGTCACAAACCTGTGAGCTCAGGCAATGCACCTGCCTCAGCCTCCCAGAGGGCTAGGATTACAGGCATGAGCCACTGCACCTGGCCCCTAGGACAGTGCTTTTAACAAGGACTCTGCACTAGACAAAGCAGGTCTTGAATCTCAGCTCCCTTTTGTACTTACGTCTTTTCTTTGCCTTATTTTTAAGTGTGAGTATAGTTTTTTCCTGTATGTTTTATCCCAAAGTCACAAGCTTACAAGCTCTTATAATTTTAATTTCTTATAGCGTAATGGTCATTTCTCAAAGCAGTAAAATGTCAGCTGTGAGCAAACTGATATACAGAGACAGTTCTTTCTTCTTTTGGGCCAAGTCTTATGATTTCTTAAGCCAGAAGTGCCTTAGAGCTCAAACCAAAGCCAGGTGTCTGACTAAGCAAATATTCATTCAGCTCTTGTACTACAGGGAGCAACTCTAAGCTTTGTCTTTGTAACACAACCTTTTTTTTTTGGAGACAGAATCTGATTCTGTTGCCCAGGCTAGAGTGCACTGGCCTCCTCATAGCTCATTATAGCCTCAAACTCCTGGGCTCAAGAGATCCTCCTGCCACAGCCTCCTGTGTAGCTGAGACTATAGGCATGCACTATCATGCCTGGCTAACAATCACTTTTTTCTTTGAGCAAGAATGGAAGACTTTTGTCTTTGTCCCTCCAACTTTCCTTAAACCTAAGAGGACAACAGAGGAAGGAACCAAAGCAAACTTCAGCCTTGAGATCTGAAGACACAAGGAGTTGGAGGAACCCCAGGCTGAGAAAGGAGAATGAAGCACTGATAAGCATTTTTCCCCTGTCTGTAGGAAAATGCTGTCCAGTGGGGTATGCACATCAACTGTCCAGCTTCCTGGCAAGGTAGCTGTGGTCACTGGAGCTAACACAGGCATTGGGAAGGAGACAGCCAAAGAGCTGGCTCAAAGAGGCAAGTTCACCTGCTTTTAATTCCTTTCTGCTGCTGCTGTTTTACCCCTCACAGTGACAGTTATTCTCATCTTTTCTTGGGATTCCAGAACACCCAGGTATGCCATTGATTTGCTGGTCTGAACCTAGTACTATGCTGTACATATAATGGACACTTAAGTATTAATGATTTATTTTTATTTTTCTATTTGCTATTTAGATGCCTCTGTTGTAAAAATTCCTGTTTTTAAAGAAATATCGAAAATGTTTAATAACATTCAACATCAGTTTTAGGTCTATAATGCCAACTCAGCAATGGAGCTGATGGATTCCTTCTCTCTGGCTGACAGGAGCTCGTGTATATTTGGCATGCCGAGATGTACAAAAGGGGGAGTTGGTGGCCAAAGAGATCCAGACCATGACAGGGAACCAGCAGGTGTTGGTGCGGAAACTGGACCTGTCTGATACTAAATCTATTCGAGCCTTTGCTAAGGATTTCTTAGCAGGTAAGTGTAGAACCAGAGAGAATGTTGTGGGTTTTATGACCAACCTGGCAGGCTTAGCTAGAAGGAAAAAGATTCCTCTCCCTCTGATACATGGAAATGGTAGATAAAATATAGTCAAAATTTTTTGGCACATAGCTGAAATCATTATGATCATTGAGATATGATTTTTGTCAAAGGGACATCCTCAAGAAGCAGAAACAAAAAGGGAATTCAGAAAGTTACACCAGTGAGCAAGAGCCAAAGCCAAAAATCTAATGGAAGTATCAGAACTGAATATGGGCTTTTTAGGATTGGGGGTCTAACACACCTACAAGGATAGGAGATGAGGCCTCAGGCCCTTCAGAACGCAAGCTACGTCTGAGGCTCCACATAAGGCTGAGACTCACCAAGGGCTGTCAACCAAGATCAAAGCTGTTGAGGCAGAAATAATTTGTAAAGGTTTATTGAAAGCCAGATTTGAGGACACCAGCCAAGTCGGGCATGTTCCAAAGTCTGTAGCAAGTTAGAAAGCTTTTATAAGAAAGTTTAGGAGAAGGAGGGGGAACTGCTTGTATCAGAGTGGTCTTTTTTTCTTTTTTTAATTGGGGAGTACTACAGAGATGACAGTCATTGGCTGCAGATGACAACATACAGGCCAAAATATTTTACGCTCTAGATAATAAGTAAAATGTTATGATTCAGAAAAAATCAGCAGAACTTTATAATTTAGAAACAAATTGATGTCCTTTTCAGTGTCAACAGGTTGCATACTAATTAGTGCATAACAGTCTAAGGAACTCACAATAAAATTTGAGGGACTCTAATAACTGTGGCATATATATATATCATGGAATATTATTCAGCCATAAAAAATGGAGATTTTACATCTTTTGTATTTCCCTGGATGGCCCAAGAATGGGAAAGCAAGCACTCTATATACTCAATACTAATTTGAAACTAGTAAATTAACAAATATGGGCCCACATAAGAGAAAAACACAAATTCAAGGAGCAGGGTGGGGATTCAATAAGCTCCCACCTAACAGGTGCAATGGGGTATGTGGCACACGTCCTGGGTGAAGGACTCAACTACAAGTTGGACTTTACCTTACAGATGCAAACAATGTAATCTAATTGTACATACCCTCATGTTAATCCAAAATTTAAAAAAAGATTTGAGGGACCCACAACTATATATATATATATATGTGTGTGTGTGTGTGTGTGTTTGTTTGTTTTTTGAGACAGAGTCTCACTATGTCACCCTCAGTAGAGTGCTCTGACATCCCAGCTCACAGCAACCTCAAACTCCTGGGCCTAAGTGATTCTCTTGCCTCAGCCTCCCAAGTAGCTGGGACTACAGATACCTGCCACAATGCCCGGTTATTTTTTTTTTGTTGTTCCAGTTGTCATTGTTGTTTAGCTGGCTCAGGCCGGGTTTGAACCTGCCAGCCTTGGTGTATATGGCTGGCACTCTAACCACTGTGTTATGGGCACCAAGCCACCACAACAATATGTTTTTATCATGGACATGAGGTCCATGATAAAAATTATTAGATCTTTCCTAGGTAATAATTTGGAAGCCTGCCAAATGTGACCTGTACGTTTTCAGGGCCTCTCCATGGTATAGAGGCTAATGAAAACCCTGACCACCAGATCAGGGACATGACACGTTTACCATCTCAAAATATGGATGGATAAGTAGTCATGTGCAAAAAGTTAGAACCTCAAGCTGGCATCATCTGTGGGGTCTGAATTCATACTACCAAATTTCCTCCCTTGCTTTTTTGCTGGGTGGAAATAGAATAATCTCGATCTGAGAAATTAACATAAAAATCTATAGTACCTCATCAAAAGCAAATCCAAGAGCACTTTGTAGATGCACTTCTTCATAACCCAGGGATCTAGTCCTCCAAAGAAAACAACTTTCACGGATATGAACTTATAGTTAGAAGTTACAAACCACATGAAGAACTGTACCATGAGAGAGAGTTGGATGAGGCAACAAAGAGTGAGCCCAGTATTTCCTTTGGGCCCCAAATCCCAGTGGCAGGGGCACATACAGAATAGCCTTTTCCCCTTGCTTTGGAAATCTGTCCATTTAGCTTGGGAAGTGTTTCTATTGGAAGAAGCAGATGGACACTTTCCAAGTGTTTGAGAGCTGTAAGTAGCTCTCAAACTAGAAAGATTGGAAAGGTCATTTGGTAGTATAAAATGGAATTTACAAAGTATGTAGGATTTAGCTAAAGTATAACAGTGAAAAACAATACAAGATATGAGTAAGTATTAGCTCGGCGCCTGTGGCTCAAACAGCTAAGGTGCCAGCCACATACACCTGAGCTGGAGGGTTCGAATCCAGCACAGTGCCCACCAAACAACAATGACGGCTGCAACCAAAAAATAGCTAGGCATTGTGGCGGGTGCCTGTGGTCCCAGCTACTTGGGAGGCAGAGGCAGGAGACTTGCTTGAGCCCTGGAGTTGGAGGTTGCTGTGAGCTGTGATGCCACGGTACTCTACCCAGGGGGACAGCTTGAGGCTCTGTCTCAAAAAAAAAAAAAAAATGAGCAAGTATTTAAAGGAAAATGGAGGGAAGATTGGAGTTCTACCTTCTCACTCTGAAAGCCTGGATGCTGGGCAGATTTCCATGATGTGGGAGCTGTGGCTGGCTGCTCCCACACTCCATCTTTTCTTCCCTGCAGAGGAAAAGCACCTTCACATTTTGATCAACAATGCAGGAGTGATGATGTGTCCCTACTCTAAGACAGCAGATGGCTTTGAAATGCACATGGGAGTCAACCACCTGGGTAAGAGATTAGGCTGTATCACAAAGCCAGAGGGAATCAGAATTTTCCTTGGAAAACTTAGGGGTCAGATTGGACCACAGAGTTATGATAGATCAGGTGTAAATAATGAGTAGTTTGGTCCTGCCTGAAAGCCCTGGCAGGAGCTACGTTGCCTTCTTAGTAGTGACCCTTGTGACCAGCATTGGTAGAAGGTAGAAACCACCGATTCCTTTTTTTTCTTTTTTTCTTGAGACAGAGTCTTACTCTGTTACTCTGGGTAGAGTGCTGTGATGTCATAGCTCACAGCAACCTCAAACACCTGGGCTTGAGCGATCCTCTTGCCTCAGCCTCCCTAGTAACTGGAATTATAGGCATGCACCACTATGCCCAGTATTTTCAGTAGAGACAGGATCTCACTCTTGCTCAGGCTGATCTTGAACTCCTGAGCTCAAGCACTCTACCTGCCTCAGCTTCCCAAGAGTGTTGGGAAGAGACCACCTGGCCACTTACTTGTAAAGAGGGACGTCATATTCACATTGTCCAGACCTACCTTGTGTAAGGATGTCTCATGTCTTTGGCTGTTCCTGTTTCTTTAACCCTAATTGAACTTGTTCTCTAGTTGATAAGGAAGAGTTGAAGTGAAAGACCTTATTCTTGAGTTCTCTGTCTCCCGTAGCTGAGCCCTGCTCACCACTATCCCTCTTACCTCCACATTATTCTTCAACTCTTGTTAATGGTAGTTTTTCTCGACAGGTCACTTCCTCCTGACCCATCTGCTGCTAGGGAAACTGAAGGAATCAGCCCCATCAAGAATAGTAAATGTATCTTCCTTAGCACATCACCTGGGAAGGATCCACTTTCATAACCTGCAGGGCGAGAAATTCTACAACTCTGGCCTGGCCTACTGTCATAGCAAGCTAGCCAACATTCTCTTCACCAAGGAACTGGCCCGGAGGCTAAAAGGTGGCCTTGGAAGAAATGAGCATGGGAAGCATGAGTCAATGGGAGGTAGCTAAGAGCCACAGGTGTTCCTGCTTCCATGACTATAATGGGGTACAGTTTAAGCAAGCAGCCCACAACTGAATATTGGACATGGCTGGCTGGGGAAAGTCTGGCTTTCAGTCTGAAGGGTTGGCTTTATCCGTTAGTAGTTGTGTGACCTGCAGTGAGTTATTTAATCTTTTAAGACTTATTTCTTCATATATAAAATGGGACTACTTCACAGTTAGTTCAGGCCTCTTGAGCAAATCAAAACTTTTTTCCCCAAAGTTAGACTGAGTAGGAGGAAGGGACCAAACTGGCAGGTCCAGTAGATACAGCCATTAGGATAGAGCAGGTTCCTGGGGAGATGGGGGTCACATGCTTACTCTCGTCTTTTGTTGTCCTGTCTTCCCCTCCACGGCACCCTTCCCTCAGGCTCCGGCGTTACAACATACTCTGTACACCCTGGCACAGTCCAATCTGAACTGACTCGCCACTCATCTTTCATGAAATGGATGTGGCAGCTTTTCTCCTCCTTCATCAAGACTCCTCAGCAGGGAGCCCAGACCAGCCTGCACTGTGCCTTAACAGAAGGTCTTGAGATTCTAAGTGGGAATCATTTCAGGTATGAATTGACTGGTTTTGAAGATGAGATTTTATTGCCCAAATGAAATAATTTGAATTTGTCTGGTATAACATACCCTTTTTTTGTTTTGTTTTCATTTCATTTTGAGACTGAGTCTCACTGTGTTGCCCTCAGTAGAGTGCTGTGGCATCACAATTCACAGCAACCTCCAACTCCTGGGCTTAGGTGATTCTCTTGCCTCAGCCTCCCCAGTAGCTGGGACTACAGGCGCCCACCATAATGGCTGGCTATTTTTGTAGTTGTTGTTGTTGCAGTTTATTTGGGGCCGGGTTTGAACCGCCATCCTCGGTATATGGGGCCGGCGCCCTACTCACTGAGCCACAGGCGCCGCCCAGCATTGATTCTTGTACTCACTGTGTTGTCAGCACCTAGCACCATTTTGGCCCAGAGTAAGTGTTGAATGAATCAAACTTTCCCTAACTTGTAGAGGGGATCTCTCTACTCAGAATCTCTGTAGGGTACAATGGTCTGTGTCGTTCATGATGTAGGTTGTTGTTGAGTTGCAAGAGTTCTTTATAGCAAGTCCCTTTCTTACCAGATGTATGATTTGCAAATATTCTCTCGTGTGCTTTGTTTGTTCATTTGTTTTAGACAGAGTCTCAGTATGTTGCCCTCAGTAGAGCACTAAGGCATCACAGCTCACAGCAACTTCAAACTCTTGGGCTTAAGAGATTCTGTTGCCTCAGCCTCCCAGGTAGCTGGAACTACAGGCGCCCACCACAACGCCCAGCTATTTTTTTGTTGTTGTTGTAGTTGTCATTGTTGTTTAACAGGCCTGGGCTGGGTTCAAACCTGCCAGCCCTGGTGTATGTGGCCAGTGCCCTAACCACTGAGCTATGGGTGCCGAGCTATGTGTGCTTTCTTTTTTTTTTTTTTTTGAGACAGAGCCTCAAGCTGTCCCCCTGGGTAGAGTGCCGTGGCATTACAGCTCACAGCAACCTCCAACTCCTG